ACTGAAGAGCTACAGATAGATGTATGTACAAGAACAGGTGCTACACACGTATAGCGTAGACACGCCTAGGGGGACCTAGGACCCTACTAAACACAAAACAGACACAAATTTTCTTCGTGTCGAAGCTTACGATCTCTAAAGTACAAAAGGTTCGCAAAACGTTGCAAATGAATTCGAAAAGTTCTGACTTCGCAGAACTCTACCGTAGATGCCATTCTGGCTCATCTAGAATGCGTCAGATAATCTTTACAAATCTACGAAAGGCATATTTGCTGTATCGAACGTTCCGGAATGTCGGAAATCTTCTTTCTCAAGTCGAATCATCAAATTGAAGTCTAATCTTTGAGGCCTTAAGTTCAAAATTATCTGGGTCATTTTACCTGCATTTAGCTTTGTGGCATTTACCTGTAGTCGGCCGGAATATCGGCCTTTTAGAGCAGAGACTACCTACCAGTCCCGGTGGCCTCGGTACCCAGGGTTCCAAGATGACGAAGAGGAACCGGTGTACCACCATGAGCTTGACGCTCCCGAGGACCAGGGCTGGCGCCAGCCAGCTTGGCGAGCTTGTTTCTTCTGCCGGGATTGTTCCTTCAAACGTTCAAGCCGCTCGGCATTCTTCTCGCCACGTTTCTCGGCGGATTGCTGGCCACGAACTCTGATCTTGTGTCGGCTGGCAAGCGAAAAATTGCACTGAAATGGATGGTGGTATCCCAAATCGCTGCTCTTCAGACACAGATCAAGATGGTTCAGGTGCTTGAGGAATTCGTTGACCTTAATGGTAGTCTCTTTCTGGCGTGGAGGCTCCTCATATCCGACACGTCCACGATCATCCGGAATATCGGATGTCCTTGACCGCAACGTCAACGTATGCATGTCCTTGCCGTAATTTAAGGCGATCTGCAGCATGCAGTCGCAATCGGCATCCAGACCTTCCAAAGCAGCGAGCTGCTCACTGGCGAGGGTTGAGACCTCCCAGTTATAGGTGATGCGCTTACTCGGCTCGCGCTTCTTGTTCGCAGAAACAAGAATCTGGTCAAGGATGGTTAGGACTGCTCCGGTTCCTGGATCGGCATGTCGATCGCCCCGGAAGTTGCGGTTCGTGAACTGGTTAGCATCGCACGCGATGACGTCCACCTGGTCTGCCACGGCCGTGATCAAAATCTTCATGATGGCGTTCTTGCCGGCCGTAATACCTGACTGAAAGGCATGTGCATTGATGTGGAAAGCGCAAACTCGAAGTTCAGGCATGCGCATGCGCTTGCAATCATTCAAGCTCCCGGTCCGGAATGTCGGACACTCGTGGAACAATGCCTCTGCATCAACTGGTGAGGATTCAATGTATGTGGTGGTTGCTTGTGCTACAGCTAAGGTGTCAGGGCAGACTGATGCCTCCATGTTATTTGCTGGATCAGCGCCTTCTTCAAGGGCAACACGGAGGTTCTTTCGGACGCCACGGTCATCGGTGATGCCTCCATCTGTCTCTTCTTCGACCTTTCACGCGGAATGTCGCGGCGTGGGCTACCCAGGCTAACCGTTCGCCTTCAAATTCAAACCTACGAATGAGCTTCAGCCTTGAAGCGCCAAGTGGATCACTGGAGCATACGGCTGCGATAGCGGGAGATTCGCCATCCGATGTAGCCAACACGCACAGGCATTTGTATTGGTTAAAGAGCTCTCGATGACGCTCGATGCCGTTGGCTTCAAGAAGGATTGTGATATGGGCTGTGTTCCTGACAAGGTAATGAGGAAGCACAGCGTATTGATCGGTCTCGGCGAGATCCCTGGATAGCGGCTGCCTGCCGTTGAAATGAGGTGTACGATTGATATCGCCGAAGTTGAGAAGCAGGACACTGACGTGCTCAGTGGACCGGAGAAGCCGGGCTTCATCGAGGTCAAATACTCCCTGGTTCGCGCGATATCCCTGCATGTACGAACGGCTTAGCTCGACAATCTGTCGCATCTCCGCGCCGGTATATCGGCGATTGGAGTCGTAATAGCAACTTGGCCGAATGATTGGGTATGGTGCCACATCAGACTGTTCGTCCCAATGTTGAGCAATCGAGGGAATGGAACGGCTCCTGTAGGTTGGATGGTTCGTGTAATGGTATTTGCTGACTCCTTCGAGTACAATTCGATCCATCGCGGCATAACCTGTTGAGCCGCCACCGAGAACAAGGTCTTTGATTTCTTGCAAACGGTGCAATCGACCGACATGACGGTCGTCAGGACGCCAACCCTCGGACTCGGCTGCGAAGGGAATCGTGAAATCAATTTCTGCAGTGATCTCTTCGCGCTCGTGCTCACCCAGCGGTGCCGGCATATCGGCGTCTGGGACGGTCGAACAGAGATAAATGCTGTTGCAGGAACAATGGTTACTGGCATCGTGGTAGCAGTCAAGGCATGTTCCATGTCGACATGCTCTGCAGAAGAAGAGTACTTCAGCATTTGCACAGGTCAAACAGGTCATCTCATCTGGGCGATGATGGAATTTAGTTGGTGCTTTCTGTGCTTTCCTTGCATCGCTGATGACCTCCCGCGCCCGCGATGTCGCACGCTTCTTGGACGTTGCTTCGATGTACTTCGTTTCCGGAATATCGGAAAACGAAACCCTGCGACCCTCGGACGGAGTGCGGGCGGCTCCCGGTGCATTGTCAGCCTTCTTAAGGACAGTACGAGACGGGGTTCGTGACCGTGCACGGGAGGACCAGACCCTTGTGCTCTGCTTCTCTTCTTTCTTGACTGCTGCAGACGATGAGGCCGCTGCTGAAGGATCGTCTGGCATATCGGACTCTTCCTTCTTCACAGTGCCTTTCTTGACCCAGGTGCCTTTTTGGCATGCTTCCGCGAGGTCGTCCACCATGGCTGCGTCTAAACTACTTATGACCTGAACTTCATCATCGTCGTCTGCCGGAATGTCGGCATCGACCTCCATGTCGTCATCATCGTCAAGATCAATCAGGTCATCTCCCTCTTCCTCGGTCGTTTCCGACAACGAGCGCTTCTTAAGACGACGCATGTTAGTGGCTTCATCCTTCCAGTCGTCGTCGAGGGAGAGAAAATTCAGCCATGTCTCAGTGTGGATCTTGGACATGCCGTGGAGCTGATGGCGGTCAAGTTTCTCTTCGGCCTCCTCACGCCATGCCTCGACCTCGCGAATCTTTATATTCTTAAACGCAAGCCGCCTGGTTTCAGCCTTGAACTTATCGTGGCCTTTGCCTACCAGCCTCAGTACCTCGCAATAGAGCTGAGAATAAAAACGCAAGTACGGCTCATCGGGTACTGACATGGCTGGAGTGGAATCTGGGACATCCCACAGCTTAGTTGACACGCAGCAATTGTTCCGGATGTCCCATGCAAGGCTGAAAAGACCGGCCGGAATAACGGCCTTGGTCAAAAAGTATCCATTCTTGCTCAGGCAAAAATCTTCCATGAGCTCTGGATGCTTTTCCAGCGTAGCCTTAGACAAGACGAGTATCACATTGGCCGGTGGTCGAATGTGTTCATAGGAGACCAAAAGTCCGTCGATCGGCAGGAAGTGGTTCATGTTACGCTGCTTATTGCCGGCTGTACTGACGCCTCCGGGAAGGAGACCGTACTGCTTAATCGAGCGGACGTGGCGATACTCCGTCATGTGAACCAGCGTGTCCGGCATATCGGAGAGCTGGCACTTCGGGATCTTAAGGCCGGTTAATGGAGTTGCGGCTCCTCCCGAATGGCTGGAAACGCCTTGCACAAAAACATGAGCTGCCCTGTGCTGCTTATATAATTGGGCCAGCTCCTTGCGATCCTCAGCCGTCATACCGGCTGGGTGGATCCACTGAGAAGGGTTACTAACAAACTTCTCACCCTTCTGATGATCGGAAGTGCTCAGAATGCCAACCTGGTACCTGCCTTTCTGATTATACATAATAGTGATG